TTAGCTCCAACATCTAATATGTGTGATTATCTTTCAGCTTCTTCTGCATGAAAAAGATTGCAGTATTACTTTCTTTGTATTAGATTTGTAGATTTTGAAGAGATCTTTTCATTTGATTTTTCCTCCCAAGTACTCTAATGATCAGTGGAATTTTATTTTGCATAAAGTGTGTTTAAAGGACCTTTATTCAAGGTCTTGACTGCCATTCCTATGTTCTCTATAGTAAAACTTGCAGTCTATGAGGGCCTGTGCTAAGAGACGTCAGCTGAAAATCAATCCAGTTTCTTTCATGTTTTTGCTAGTGGGATGCTTTGGAGCATATTTCTTAGACTTCTGGACTCTGAGTCCTTCCTTTTTAGAAGGCATTGAGTGAGCCTGCTTTTCTGGTCTACCTATGAGGGCCGAACTGGACTACTAGAAGAATGACAGAGAACTAGATTCAAGGTTTGGTCTTTCCTGCTGAAAAGTCTCTCTCAGCCCTATGAGGTCTGATTCTTTTACCTGAATTTGATCAAAAGACTTTTGCTTTATTTCTTCTATCTATGCATCATCTCTGTCATTCCCTTAGGCATAGCTCTTCCAGAATGAGATTTTCCATCTTATTAATGCCTATTAATGACTGGAGCATTAGTTTTTAAACAACTGGCAGAATCTAGTGCCTGCAAATGGATTGTGTGTTCTTCCAAGATGGTCACCTTATGGAATTTCCTGGTAGATTTCCCTTGTTGGCCTTTTATGACCATGCTCACTTGTTGGATTCCTCATTTTGGGAGTATGGAGATTACAAAATTCTGATCCTATCTCTGCCTCAGTCTAGTAACAGGCAAAGCAAGGATCCAATGAATAAAAGTTGACTGACTGATTTAAAAGATTGATTCTAGTATCAACATAACACAGGTAGATTTGACCATTATTTCCGGTTCCCATGCTTTTACATCTAGATGTGGTGAAACCTTTCAGAACATGACAAATGCCGGCTTGCTGCCTGAATATTTAAAATGATCATTAAACAATAAGTGCTATTTTTTCAAGGAAATGAGACATAAGCTATATCTTTATATGTCAAACATGGATTGTGTTACCCATAGTAATGTTTAGCAAGTAAGGCTAAGCAAGTTAGATCAACTTGGTGCTTTTCTTAAGAAACTTTTACCCTCAGCATAATGTAGAATGCATTTTCAGTACCTAATTCACATCTCAGATATGTAGTAAGGAGAAAAAAGGGGTTTGCTAATGAAAGGCCTTCTTTTCAACAGTATATGAAAATGTAACTATTATTTTGTGCTCTATTTAAATGATCAACATAGCCATAGTTTTTTCTACTTAGAACTGCAAACAACAGATGTTATAATGGACAATAAAGTCCAGTGATGATGGACATTGTTTTCTCTGTTTGAAAACAAAACTCTTGCAGTTCTATAACTCTGGTTTCTTAATGCACAGAAATAAATGCCTCTAATAGCAACACATTAGAAGAACCATTTCATATCTCATGTTTTTCAAATGAAGTTTACATCTGATCTAGTGTGGTCCTAACAAAATAGGACAGATGTCAGATATCTTTTCTTATTAGGCAGTGTTTGAGCATAAACTTCAAAGAATGAGGTACAAGGAAATTTGTATGATATAAGCAGTTTTTATCCACGTGCAGGACATTAAGTTATTATTGACTCAACCAATTTTTTTACCCACTAAACACTATCTGAAGTTGATTGTCTAGATCTATAACTGTCATTTAAATTTAAGTTTTCAGCTATGACTTTCTTTGGGAAAATTTCAGAATGTATTGTGTTAATCATCCCCACATTAGCTTAGTAAATATTTCTCAAGATGGTGAACTAACCACAGTGTTTCTCAGTCACCAGACTCATGTATATTAAATTCATCATTACTTTTCTGTAAACAATCTTAAACAGAAAATCTCTAGAGGAAAAAACATTTATCAAAGTCCATCTGCTTTGATTCTTAGAGTGTAATGTCAACTTGAGAAGCTAAGTAACTCAGCAGTTGTAGAGGACATGCCCCATGGTAGGGTGACTGTTTACACTCCAGGATGTTGTAATGGTTGATTCATTGTATCAACTTCAGAAGTTTAGAATTTTAGCTAAGTGACTCAGCAGGGCCCGAAAGTCCTCACTGTGTAAACTTCCTCAGCTAGTGAAAGAGAAGGCATGGAGGAGATGGTATGAGTGTAAAGGACCCATTCTAGAGTCCTTTTTATGCAGAATAGAGATGTGCTTCTCCCCTTTTGCTCTTGTTCCTTTTGCTATCTTCTGTTGCCTTGAACTATTCTTCCTTTGCCATGCCTCCCTGTCTTGGAGCCAGTGATTATGGACTGAAACCTCCACAAACTGTTAGCTAAATAAAATTTTCCTTCTTTAATTTTGGATATCAGGTATTTTGTTTCAGCAAGGAGAGAAAAGTGACTAAGGCAGAGTTAAATTATTTTTTGGGATTTACACTTTGGCTGAACAATGTGTTTGGTTTCTAATATTTTCTTTTTTATTCAAGAAGATGACAGTGCCTCTTGAAATTTCTCTAACACCTGCACCCCAGAGTCAGTAGCTGGTGGGAGATCAATGCAACAATTCATTAATCCCAGGAATTGTCAAGATGATGAGTTCATCTTGCACTTTCAGTTCAGTTCATCCTTTCCTAAAGCAGAAGAAGAAGGGGAGAAAGAAAGAGAGGGGAGAATAGGGGAGGAGGGAAAGGAGGGGAGAGGAGAACAAAATTCCTTTTCTTTGAGTTACTCCCATGGCAAAACCAAATTTCAGAGCAAGTGAGATTTCTAAGATCATGCTGTGATTTAAGGAAAGGAAATAGTTCTGAAAGTAAAATCACATACTATTTGTGCTTGTACAATGCAGGTTAGGAAACAGAGAGGTTAATGTTTCTGTTTTTGTTTTTTATTTAAAGGGGCAATTCAGACCCTCAAGTGCTATAGCTGTAGTTTCTGTTCTGCAGTCCCTTACTAGAGAAAGAATCATGTATAGTTTTTTGAGTGATTTATATTCTATATCATCCTTGGTGACACTTCCACTCATGCTTCTAGTTTTTGTATTTTAATTTCTGTATTTTTATTCAAAATTTTTATTTTGAAAATCAGTTAGTAAATAAACCTTAGGATATTTTACTATTTTGTTGTAAATGTTGGCTAATATAGTTTTCAGGTTTCAGCATTTTAATTCACTTTAGAAAAAATAAAACGACTATATAGTTATCAAAGCCAGCTATTTAATGTAGTTGTTTTTTAAGGTTAATTGTGTATAGAAAAAATGTCTTCTACTTTATATTTTTATCAGTCATTAACATAGTTGCCATGCTGTGATTTTCTCCTTTATGACTTTCTTTAAATAGACACGCCAAAAGAAATGCTAAGTGAGTCAGTCAGTCTAAAGCCTTCTTGTTCCATAATTAAATATTGTATTCTTAAGGAGGAAAAATTACCTACTTTAGGAATTTGCTTTTAAGAAAAAAAAAAAAAGAACTTTCATTTGAAAAAAATACAGTCAACATAAAAAAATGGCAGTTTGAGATTTTATTAAATGGATGATTGTCTAAAAAATTTAGACAATTTTCATAGTGAAAAACTGGCTATATTCATTGATTTACTTTAAGACTTTAATAAAATGTCACCTGTTTTATTTTCCTAATCTCTAAGTAAAGACAGTTACTTACACAGGTTATTTTGAGGGACAAAATATTAATGATGTTAAATTATTTTAATAAAAGTAAAGCAGCTCTCTGAAATAAAGAGATTTAAATACCATGTACTCTGAACTCCAAATGATGCTTTTGTTTAGCCTTTCAGTTACTTTGTCCATTTTTGATAATAAAAATTAAATGTTTATGATTGTTTATTGGTAGCAAAGTTGAAGTAATTATTATTTAGTCATTTAATGTAACAGAAAAACATAGATAGTAGTAGGTTTTTATATGAATAACTTTAAAACTTTAAATAAAGTTTTTCATTATTTTTATATTTGAAAAGTTTATTTTAAAATATTTGTAAATACATTATTTCTAAGCAAGAGACAAAACTCAAGGGAAACATCAAGGACAATACGACTTCTTTCTTAAGAAAAATTGGGCAAATCTAATTCATATAGCAGTTGTGTATTCTCCTGTCATATCCTATGCTTGAATCTGTCTTAGTAAACTGACCCCCACCAGTCTTTGAGCTGGTTGTCTCAGCTCTCAGTGATGAACAGTTACTTGTGAGTGTAAGATGGAGTAGAAAAAGAACTGGATTAATCCCCATAATTAAAAAATCAGACTCCAACTTCCTCTTTCTAGCCCAGCTAGAACCTGCCTACAGCACAAGACACCACCCACTGTCACCCTCCCAATACCATAGTGTCCCTTCCTGAGGGGAAGGGAAGTTAGACGAACAGAACACAGAGAAGAGGTCCTGACAGCAGAAAATGGGAAGGTGACGTATACCAGAGAATTAAGGCAAAAGGTAGAATGGAGTCTGTTAAGTGGCTCATTATTACTTGAACCTGGGGGTGGGGGGGCAGAACTAGGACAGGAGGAGAAGAGTGAAGAAAAGACATTCTTTTTCATACTTACAGGAGTCTGAAGACTTGAAGTCAAACTGCATAATCTTTAATCCTGGGTGCACCATTCTAGGTAAATTAGAACTAGTTATTGAACCTCGCTTGACTAAATGGAGGCAATAATAGTACTTTTGATAGCCCTGAAGACTTGTTGAGATGATGTATTTCCTTCTAAGAGGCAAAGCTGTCAGAGAAGAGCCTGGCTCCCACAGTAACAGCCAGTTTTGGCTGTATTTCAAAGATAGCTTCATTTCAAAAGACCATGATAAATCAATCCACGCATAATGTTGGGAGCAAGGTGTGACTTTCAATTCTAGCTAATTGGAGGCCATCTGTTGACAAGAATTCTCATCCCAAGGTTCAAGGACTCCTGCCACACTCAAGGCTTCCAAACCTTTATGGTTTTCCTGCAGAGAAGGGTATTAATTTCTAACTCACCTCCATGGATGTCCAGATGTTAACAGATATGCCTGCCTTCTTCTCTTCAAATTCACTCAACAGGAAAAGCGACTGTGTGACCACATCCAGTGCCAAGGGATGGACCTGGTGCAGTCCACCCCACTGCCACATCAACTCTAAAATCCCTGGGCTCTTGTGTCTGTCTGTTGCAGGTGAACCGCTCTGTTCTGAAAAGGCCTGATTTTAGAACACTCTCTTTTCTCTCAAATACCCTTTTTCACTCAGAGGATTGATAGGAGTCTCGCTGGTCCTACGTGCTGGATTCTACTCTTGAAACTGCACCAGTAGATCAGCATCTCCAGGCCCAGAGGGATTTTTGTAAGTTCTCTTGATGAGGGAGCTTTAGTCACTCTCTGACTGGTACGTACTGAGGAAAGGAAAGTCTGGGGTCCTCCGGCTACAGACCAGACAAGTATAGATGTGCTAGCTATGGAAAACACATGGTTGATGGGATTTCGGGTCCAAGGAATACAAGGCAGACCACAAGTATCCCTGACTTGGCCATCTTAAGGAGCATTACAGGTTAATTCAATCTGTAATTATTATTTGAGATTAGAATAGAGAATTCTCTCCTCACCATGCACTTTTGATCCTGCAACAAATGTGTAATTTCCCAGGCATTTCATCCCAAGGTTGCAGCTGGTTGCATTTGAATTTACATACTCTGAAATTATTTGCATTTGATGCCTCAAACTCTTACTTTGCAAGTTATTTGATATTCAACAGTCCCTTGAATCTTCGTAATTTCTTCAAAGCTCTTTTTTTCCTTAAATATGGAATTTTGTGCATTCCTTTATTTTTCGTTTTTTAAAAATCTGAAAATAAATTAAACATGGAATTCTCTTTATTTTTTCCTTTTTAAAAAATCTGAAAATCAATTAAACTTCCATAGTCTCAAATTGAATCAAAAGGCTAAATCCAAGTGATTAAAATAAGTTCTGAGTTCACAAAATCTTTTTCTTATTGTTATCAATAATCACTGTGTAGTGATCGTTTTGGCAGCACATATGAGAATAATCACCATGTGATCTCACATTTTCAAGTTAATGGGGATCTCATGTTTTCTTAAGTAAGTTTTGCCTTTTCATTATACCTTTTCTAGGAGGGCATCGTAAAGGTATTGATTAAAAGAATTTTCACAATTAACTTACATAAGAAAACTGAACTATAAATAAAGCAAATAAGATAAAGTTGGATAACAGGAAACAGGGAAATAGAACTTTTGCCATAAGGAGGAAAATCAAGAGGTCGAGGGAGGACAGAAAAGGGGCAGGAAAAGAATTCAGGTGCATTGGATCCACTCCCCACAAGGAATGCAATCATTATATATTGTAAACATGAACTAAGTAAGTAAATCTTTTGGGTGACGGAATTAAAGTAACTATAAATGTTAATGTTTAGATAGATCCTATAGCTAACATATATAGGCACAAAAGCACTATCTTCAATGTGGATATACATTTTAAATAATAGAGAGTTTTGCTAGAAGATAAATAGGTAATATGTAGGATATCAGAAAGCATATGACAGGTGGACTGTGTCTTGAGCTCCCATTTATATATTAAAAATACAAAATGAGAACCAGAGTTAGACTAATCTCAGTTCTGTTCATCATCCCCAAGCCTCCAACCTTATCCCTGTTTCTCAATTTGGCTTCACTGACCTGAATTCAGATATACTGTCTGAAACTGGGGCACTTTTATTACTGAGTGAATTGTTTTGGGGATCTGCAATCTCTTATAATCAGATGAATTATAAAATTTCAATTCTTTAGAAAATGAGAAAGTTACAGTTCATTTTCATTCTTGTTGCTAATAGTGCCCAACACAGTAAGAGCTGCACCCTGCGTTTGTGTTGTTCCCCCTTCAGCCCCTGCTCTTCCATCAGCTGCTAATAAACATGTGACCCTGTAAGGAAGCCACTGCTAAATCCACCCTGCCCACAGTGATGAGCCTGCTGGTGAGAGTGTTTGAGGCGCACAGATAACCCCCTCAAGAAAAAACATACATCACCTTGTGAGCTGCCAACAGTACTCTGCATTGCTTTAACTGAATGCTAACATTTAATAACTTGCTACAAACATCTGTATGTGAGAAACTTGGACTTTATAGAATAAACTAAAAAAACCATCCACTGAAGCACAATAAAAGAATACTTTTAGAATAAGAATTGAATTTTTAGGTAAAATTGAAGCAGGAAAGTATATATATGTATACACACATATACACTCATATATATATTCAAATTATTTAACAGAAGACTCTTATTTATTCATCTTTCATAAAAGTAGATGTGTTTTATATGAAGTCTTAACTTTGTTAATAATGCCCTTTGTGATTATCTGATTTAAATCAATCTATGTGTTTTCAGATGTGATAGTTAAAGTATAATTAGTATGTACAGAGATATTTACTGTCTACAATAAATATAATTAATTAGACAGACTACACAGAATTATTTTGCATGCCATAAATCACTTTTGATCTCAACAACTGGTTCTACACAATCTCCAAGTAAACTGAATGTTATTTGACTTATCACTAAAATAATTGAATAAAGAGAAGAGCTGGGTAAATGGTGTGGAAAAAATATCTAACATCACCCTTATCAAAATTAAAGTTGTTCTGAAAATAAAACAATTTCAGCTTCTCTAGCTAATGCAATCATTTTCTTACCTTTATTTCAGCAACATGCTTTTCCCGTCTCCACACAATGTAATCTATAGAGTAAGTGTTCTCGTGATGCCTCGCTTCCATCAACTTGATATTTTCCTTTTAATATTTTTCCTTTTAATGAAATTTTCCTTTTAAAGACATAGCTTTGTCTTTGGACAGAGAACAATTGATTCCACATGTCATTAACCAGGCCCAGTGAACACTGTCAAGCATTTCAGGCATTTGCTTGGGGCAGGGGAGGTGTTGGGGCAGGGAACCGCTAGTAGCTAAAGATTATTCTTGTTGATACTAAGACTAAACTATCATTGAAAGTTATAAGCATATAATGTTGTGCTTTGGATTTTTGAACATCAGATTTTTGCTTTCCCTCACTTCTAGAGTAAACTTAAACATAGGTTAGAAAGCTTTTAGATCTGAGCCAAGAGAATCTTTCATTTGGTTGTATATGACAAAGCTAGAGAGGAATACTGGAGTGAATTTCCTTTTTCAGGTTTCTGGAAATTTGCAAGATATATTTTTTCTCTCTCCTTCCTCCCTCTCTCTTTCCATTGAGATTCCCATCATGTCCTGTATGAAAAATGAACTGCATTCTCTGATATGTTAATATATTCTAAAGAAGCGGTTATTAGTGAATGAATTCAACCTCCTCCCAGACCTACACATTATGGGAAAATCATGATGAAATGAAGGGGATCTCATTGTTTGGAATACATCCCACTGTGGACACTTTCACTGTTAGACAGGCCTCATCTGGTTTTTAGGTGATTGTGGGATTTTGCTACTTTTATTACTGACCTATATTACCTGGTACATTATGAGAATAAAATGCAGCTTGACTTCCGTCTCTTAATAGAAACCTAATGCTCCCACAGGAGCTTTTAGAGACTTACACCTTAAGTTCACCTGAGGCAGTTTTGCACAATTATAACTTAATGCAGCTGGCAGAAATCTGAATTTCTAGGTAACTCAGAAAAACTAACTCTTCTTTAATTCGAATGTTCTCAGATCTGCAGCTATCAGAATCATTGTTCCACCCAAGGAAATATATGAAAAGTTCCTAGATTCCTAGAGAAAAGAGAAAAGACTTGCCTGGGTTCTCAGAATATTCTAGAAATGTTTTCGAAGGAGTATATCTCTGTGATTCATTTTCTACAGGAAAATACCCTCCGTGACCCCTGTAGTTACACTCACCCCACTTTCCAGCGATCCTCACTTGTGTGTTTTCTACTGTAGATCTAATTCCCCATTACTTACATCTCTTAATAGAAAACTTCTAATTTTCTAAATTGTCAATAATTTGACAGCCATTAGACATTACTTGGGCTAAGGTAACAGGAAATTCTAGAGTTTAGTGTGTGTCATTGCTATCTCAGGGCAAACAGCAAATTATCTTTTGTGTCCATCTACGGCTTTGCCTTAGGAAAGTATTTATAATATGCAGTGATTTATTGTGTATACCCACTGAATTACATGTTTGGAGTGTGGTATTTTATTGAATCTCATAAGAACCCAGGAAAGCAGAAAATAGGCATTTCCCCCTTTGGCAGGGGACTCTCACCCCTCCTACCAGGGGCTCCTGTGGAGCTGAGGAAATCAGAAACTGGTTGGCTACAAATTTGTTCCCCAAGTGATTTTGACACACAGGACTTCAAGAAATGCTGATATATGGATTTTCACATACAATTGCAATATATATTTGTTCATGTTAATTTCAGTACAAGCTTATAGTGACCTTGGGGACAATGTCTGGCCACTTCCTGTCACCTCCCCACCTCTGCTCTCCAGACTCCAGAAAGTGAGCAGCGGCTTTCCTCCATGAGGTTTCCTCCTTGGGGTGGCTGACTGTGGAGTGAAACCCCTCCAACTGTGAGCCCAGTTACATCACCCCTCCTTAGTAATCCTCTCCTCCTTTAGACTGCAACCATTCAGTGTTTTGTCACACAGAGTTTTACAGATGATTTAATATTTTAAGAAAATCAATAACAAGACCAGCTCTTGGTGTATGCACATGGGTGTGTGTGTGTGTATTACTGAGGACTGAACCTATGACATTTGCAATGAGTTACATCCCCACTTCTTTTTAAAATTTTTATTTATTTATTAATTTATTTTTATTTTGAAACAGGGCCTCATTACAATGCCCAGGCTGGACTAGAATTTGAAATCATCCTGTTTCAGCCTCTCAGGATGCTGGGAGTTTGGGGCATGTCATCACACCCAGCAAGACCGTTCTTATGATTCATGAAGCATTCTGTGAGTTTAGGAGACACAGAGATTTCTATAAAGGTCTACTAAAGCAGAAAGCATCTAATTGTTGAGGGAAAAGCAGAAAATGTAACCACAATAGCATTATTTGATGTGATTTCTGCTGGCCCTTTCATGTTTCAGATATAGCTTTAGATTCTAAGGATAAAATGTAGATAAGAACAATCATGAAGAGCATCACACCTGAGCACAGTGGGATCTGTGAGTTGAAAATGTGTTGCTGAGAATTTGGGGAAAATAAAGAGGCTAGATTAATCTGGCCTGAATCCTGGAGAGGAGAAACCTTCATGGAGTAGCTATTTTGAAGGTCTACAGTGGCTCCCCCTTAGACACACACCAGTGTGCTAATCACCACACTCATGTGAATATAATACTCAAGACTGGTGCATGAACCAGCGAAAGGATTAGGGAAAGAGTGAAAGAAATATCAACCACTTATAGGACCAGAAATAGTGCACATTCCCATCAGTCAAACTGGAAAATTTCATAATCCATGAGACATTGAATAGAGGGTTTTATACAAACAGCAAAGAATAAAG